TCGAAACAGGCTGTCGAAAGAGGCTGTCGAAACAGGCTGTCGAAAGAGGCTGTCGAAACAGGCTGTCGAAAACTGTTTCTGTCGAACTACGAAATTACCAGCCGAAGATCTTATACCGCGACTGAGGTGGGGTAATTGTACTCCAAAAGGCAGTCCATGTCTGTTGAAAGGAGAGTGCTTCATTTGTTTCATCAAGATGATTTGAAAACTTTATCCAATATTTATATACAGTGGTGGCAAAAATTTTCTGTACGCAGTCAACGAAGAATGATTTTGACAAGCGGTTTGCACCAAAATATTCTCCGCTCTCTCTAGTATATTTGTAGATAAAAAAAGTTAGAAATATTGATTGTTGTTCTGTGTAGGCTCATTACGTTTCCGGGTCAGCTGATAAAAACCTCTTTTTACGCTATATAAGCACCGACAAAATATGAAAACTGCAGCAATCGATAGAGGAGAGCGGGGTACATTTTGGTAAAAAAGATAATTTTGAAAAGCTTTTTTTCTTAGGGTGAAAACGCGATTTTAAGTCAAACGTGCCATACTTTTTAGTGTGACCTCTGAATCTCGAGAATGAGCAGTAAAAAATATCTGATTAAGCCGTTCGAAAGCGCATCAAAACTCAGTAAGCTAAATATATTATGGGAATTAAATAAAAGAATTTGACTCATGTTTCAACCGAAAAAGTGACATCATTCAACATAATTCTTTCTGAATCATACCACCATTAAATAAAAGCGTCGTGACTCATTCGAAAGAGAATGTAATTCTCAACAAGAATATTAAGTTTTAAAAATTAAAAAAGGCGACGTTTTTTTTCTTAGCATCGGAGAGCCTCGCTCAATATCTGGAGATCCATGTGTACCACTTAGCACCATATAGCAGTTTAAAGCTTCCTACAGCTTTCGGCGATCTTTTCATTACAGTGATTTCAAATAGTCTGTTAGTAAATTCTATTTAATTCTAAGTAAAGCTTTAACTCTCTGAAGCATACAGATGTTTGTTACTTTAATTTCGCATGACCATCTCTTTTATATGCATCGACTTTTATGTACTGAGATCAGTTAGACGAGTATGAATACTTTTCCTGCAGTTTCCTTCGTTTCTTTTCTACTTCTCGCATGTAAATGAAGATTTATTATTTAAGTGTTCAGTATAATAAAAAGAAATGAGAAACGAATGAAAAAAAATAACTAGAGAAATACGCGTTTATTATTTCTGTTTATTGACTTGCTGTACTTTCAACAGTCTATCTGATGACAATCTATACTTTTCGTTTGTTAGCAACCAACAAGCACTTTGCTTATGAAGGTATTTATATTTGTTACCAATTTGAACGCGAAAGAATTGTTTATTTTTCTCATCAATACTATCATATATTTTTATACCATCAAACTCTTTTTTTGTTGATTGTAATATCATATTATCATCATTATTTTCACTTTCATTTCCACTGACATATTCAGTCTGAATGAATCACCAATTTCTAAATTTTCATTGTCACTGCTACTACCAATACTACTACTACTACTATTATCACTACTACTACCATTGCTGTTATCATTTTTATCCTCATCTTTTATTTTTGAATAATCAACTGTTTTTTGAGACTGTGATAAACGTGTATAGACATAGATACTTAGTTTGTTTAAATTATATACATTATTTTGTGTCAATAATTTATTCATTTTCATCAATTTTTAGCATTATCGTAAGCATTCTGAACAATTTCTTCTACATCTTTTGTTGTCAATTGATCTGAATTATTTTTATTATCATCATTTGTCATATAAGAATTAATTTTTAAATACTTTTATTTATAGTGAATTAAGAATTTAATACAAAAGTCGTTTCTCTCATTGATTTCTTCTTGACGTCTGATATTATTCAATATCGAAACTTTTTCTGCTTTTTTCATAAACTGATTTACGGAAAAATTGGTAATTGATGATTGTGTACCGGTTAATGAACGTACATGACGAAAGATAGATTCACAATTTTGCGAACTAAATAAATATGTATCAAGTGCAGTGGATGGTATTTTTTCTTTACGACCTGTTTTTGATTTTGTTTTTCGTTTCTTTTTTGTTCTTGTTGTTAATATTTCGTTATCTTTATCAAAAGTAGATAAATCCAACCACGACCACCAAAACCTACAAATAAATGTAATAATCCATCCATAATATAAACGATTTTTTTATTGTTGTTGATGGACGTATGTTTGTATAATTAAATGTAACATATACAAATAGCAATGAGTAGATATTGTATCATTGTCATTTCTAATAAGTTCAAAACATCAATAAAAGATGAATATGATGAAAAAGTCTGTCGATCACGGGGAAATGTGTCTGAACGGACATTATGGTCCAATTTTTGAATAATTTTCAATCAAATTACTGCGATGTTTAGTATCAACAGATTGTTTTCTCATAAATAATTGTACATGTTTAGATAACAAACGACTACGAATTTTTGTTGCCAAATGTATTCCATCTGAAAGCAAAGAAACAATTGCTTCGGTCTCAGATAAAACCATGTTTTCGATTTATGTGGTAGATCAGTTTCAGACAGATCATTATGATAAATATCAATCAGATTGATATTTGGCAAACGACTAAAAAACCCGTTTGTACGTCGCACCGCTTTCAAATATTTACCATCGCAATCAGTTGAGTAGCCGATTATACGTATATCATTCAATTTACATTGTTCATAAATGTAGATCCATCGACGAAGTATATCGATAGCGACTGACTTAGTATCTGTCCCATAAGCAGCTAAAAGAAATGGTCTCGGTTTAAATGATTGTGTAGGCATTGTTACTGTAGTCGTTAATGACGGTAACAACGGCCATGTTAGCTTTTATTATCTTTTACTAAGGTCGATAAAATGGCGAGGATAAAATGGCTTTTTCTAACAAGGCTAGAGACTTGCAATTTTCACTATTCGATGCAGCTTGCTGAGCTCTATAATATGAGGCAGGTCTCGTCAGTGACGTCAGAGGTCGATGTAAGTGGTGGTCGATTTAATATGAATTTGGCCTATCCGTCGCCGAAAACATCACTCTTCAGTAGTATTTCTAGTATTAGGACGCCCAGACCCACTTTGATCTCAACGTTATATATATCAATTTGTAGCCCTTGAACTTCTCTGTTCAATAAAGTGCAGTGGTTAATAATAAATTGGGTGGACAGTATAAGCGATGAGCGCTGTTGACCTATGGATTTGTGAAGGTCGGGGCTGGTATTTCTAGTGTTAGGTCACCCAGACCCAATTTGTTCTCAATATTATACATCATTGTGTAGCCCGTGAAATTCTCTATGGAGTGGTTTACGGTAGTTGAGGTTTGTTTCGAGGAAAAGAGCAGAAATGAGGAAAATACTCTAAATATAGTTCATCTAAGGGGAGAAAAGTTCGGATGCGAATTTTTTATTTTATTTTTTTATCATTTATTTTACGAGACGACGTGGTTAAATCTCTAATTGCTGATTGATAAGAGTGAAACAAAGATTTAGCGTACTTCCTTATATTATTATCCGTATTCCTCGTATTTATTTGAGGTATTGTCGGTAGTTGGCTATTTAGGTATACCCGGTATTTTCAGTATTTGAGGTATCCTTGAGGTATTGAAGTACCTTCAGGTATTTAGGTATTTTAAGTATTTAAGGAATTTAGATATTTTCAGGTATTTGAGGTATCTAGGTATTTTCCATTGACTATAAAGGAAGGGGTCTTACCGAGTTAAAATGTCTGTATGTATGCCCGCAGACTAGATACTAGCGACAGGCAGATTAGTAGCAGACAGACAGACACACAAATAGTTGCAACTTGATTGGATGAAAATGATGCAGAATAGATGTTCGACTATGGCGAATCAGAAAATGAGCATGAGCGCCCTCTAAAATCGATTCTATTAGTCGAAACATTGTGCGCTTTTTCCGTAGAATGAGAGAAGTTGACAACATTTCTCAGCCATCCTGGGTGCGAATGCCGACCGAAGGAAGGCGTGAGCATTGTCGTGAATTTCGAAATGTTTTTCGATTTCTGGGGATCCTTTTAAAGTCTAGAGAAAACTTTTAAGATTTACATTAGATTACGAAGCTTACAGTTGAAATCAAAGAAAAAATCATAATGTACTTAGATGTTTCATATCTCAAACGGATCACACTCCCTTGTTTTAGATTCTGACCTAGTGAGTTGAGATAAAATATTTATTTTAAAAAGGGGGAAAGGAAAGCGGTAAAAAACGTATTTTTCTCATCATATTTTATGTATTGTATTAATCTTTCTATTTATTTTTTAAGCTGACAACTTTCATTTTTCCGCAAAAATCTCGGTCGAAAAGTTCGAAAAAATGAAAGTTGTCCAAAAGTCCTTAAACACACATCAATCAATTCAGTTTTTGCTACTGGCGAAGAAAGGCCACCAACTGTTCCCTCGCTTTTGAGCTGAGACTTAGTCGATCGGGGGTAATCGAGCATGCTGATTCCGAATTTCATAATGGTTTGAGCTAATTTTGCTTTTAAAGTCCCGGTTTTTGAAGATCTTGGTTTTCAAGCCGAAAAACTATTTGCGCTAAAAAAATTTTTTGATCTGTCCAATTGATAGAGAACCTTCAGAAAACCACTTTTCAAGGGTTCATGAGAGGTTCTGAGCGAGTTTTCTACGTCAAAAACTTTAAAAAGTGAGGAAAAACCGGATTTTTTACGCAGTATAGTGCAAAAATTGCTTTGGCATTTAATAGAAAAGTAAAACTATATGTAGTTAGCAGTTAACAAAAATTTCAAGGTATGTGTGATGCATGAGTTAGGACAAAGTACAAGAATGGAACGGAAGAATAGTTTAGATAAGAATAGCATTCTTTAAAAATATGTGTAATATTAACACTCTTATTCAAGTATCAGCGCTGTATAACGTTCCAAACGAATTTTTCACTCAAACGTGAGAAACATCGGTCCATTTCAACACGATATTCATTCTTTTTTTCTTGCAACAAAATGAATGCACAGAACATCGTGTCGGTTTTGAGCGATTTAGTTGCAAATAATTTAACCGTTACACAGCCGTCTCCAATTACACTACAAGAGCGACGATCGGCCGAACACCTTGCTGATACAGTTAAATTAATGGCCAGTGGACAAAGAGTCGATTATGTCGAAGAGACAATTTTAGACTTCGGTGATTTTACTGATGATGAAGACAGCGAAAAAGAGGAGGACCCCATGGCTGTCGAGAAGGAGGGTGAAGAAATGGGCGAAGACTGGGCGAACAAAGATGCTGCTTTAGAAAAATATGAATTTTCCAGAAGAGTTTATGCGTCAAGTGGTTGAATTTGCTGACTGGAAAAGTCCGAAAACTTGACGTGGACGCTCCTGGAAAGTCGTCCATAATCGATTTAAAGCTGTAACAAACAGACAATGTATCCCGCGTTTTCGAAAATATTTGGAACATCATGGAACAAAGCGTCAGAAAACGCAAAATTTGGATGAATTAGTTTTCAGAAAGTTTGTTGAAGCTAGACAAAAGAGCCTTGTTGTTCATGATTTGGATATCCAACGAGAAGGACTGAAAGTAGCCAAGGAAATAAAACTTGATGAATTTCACGCTTCACACGGATGGCTGGAGAATTTCAAACACCGTCACAAATTAACCTCTCTCAAAATTACGAACTTTGTTTCACACCACCAGGTCGAAAACATGGATTTTATCGAAAAATCGAAAAAAGATTTTGTTTT